AGGCCTGCTTTTTTGGTGGACGGCCACTCCTTCTTCCTAGTCTTTCTTAATCTAGGAGCTCTGTTGCAGTTTCTCCAACACAGATGACTCTTTTGGTATCTGACACTGGTGACACAGATGCCAGCATCAGAACACCCCAAACGCTATACCAGTAGAGCAGATTGACAGACAAGTCCTCTACCAATAGGAGGAAATAATAGCCAAACCTGTAAATATGGAAGATAACCCAAATGATAGGTGTTGAACCTCTAAAAACAAACTTGTCGCTAGGTACTGTACAACTTATAGTGACCTTATCAACAAAAGATCTCAACACTGTCCTATCCTCTGCCATTTTTACACTTCCTGACACACTAGAGCCCACAGTGGCAGTCACTGTGTCGGCCCTCTACTCTTCCAAGTTTATATCCCTCTCCAAGGAATAGACCCTCCTAGAAACATGCTCGAACTATCTGAGGCAAAGCGTCATCATAATTGCCTCCAAACAGCACTCTCGCTGCACTCTTACTAAGACATAATTCTTAGTTCTCATGGCAGCCCATGGGATATGTTCAGTGCTCTTCTCCAACACCACAGTTCAAAGACATCGCTATTCACTGGCCAGCTCTCAAAGGCATAGCAACTGACTGAAAAGACCATGACCTGAATCAGACACACCTTAATCCTCAAACTAACATCATTACTCAATAATCTGGATATATCCCTAACCATAGCCTTTCCCAACGCAATACATCACCTGACTGCAGGTACCAAGGGAGTTAACTGTGGACCCAAGCAATATGAAATTGTTGACAGTTTCCATCTCTTCTATATCAAACATGATGTTGCCTATTGGTCCAGTGGTAAGAATCCTTTGTTTTCTTGGCATTGGGATACAATAAAAATTGAAGGCTGTATTCCTTGATCCTCTGCAACAAGTGCCTCAAGTCCTCCTCACCTTCTGTAAAAGGCTGTGTCATTCCACTAAGCAAAATTAATTGCAGACTCTTTTTACTTTTGAAAGAGAGGAGCGAACTGGGGGGGGGGGGGGGGTAGAGGGCTGGGAGGGTAGAGAAGGGCAGCAATGAATGAATGGAAATCCAAATTCTCTGTAAATGTGCATTAAAATTATTTTTAAAAAATCTAAATAAAGACATAAAATTTAGAAAAAAAGGGCTGTGTCATCTGCATAACACAGGTTGAGAAGTCTCCCTCCACTCCTGATGCCACACTCTTATTCAGAGTCCAGCATCTCAAATAATTTGTTCAGCATACAGAATCAAGTGGTGTGAAGAGAGAATAAGAACAATAAAAGATACTAAACATATTTACACTTTTTCTTAGTACAGATGTTTTATTAGTCATGAAAACACAGAATAACCATTTTATAGGTTAACTAAAATAAAGATGACAGTTCAATTTCTTGTTATAATTCTGTATCTAAGAACTGAACAGTAAATAAGCAATACAAAAGAATAATCGATGTCTTTTGAGCTGTGGTGTTGAAGAATATTGAATATCCCATGGGCTGACAAAGGAAAGACAGATGCATTTTGGGAAAAGTGTAGCCAGAATGCTCCTTAAAGGAAAGATGGCAAAGCTCTGTGATATGTACTTTGAGCATGCTGTTACCATAGGGATATCCCCATGGTAAGGTGGAGGGGCAGTAAAAGTGAGGAAAAGTCTTAACGTGATGGACTGACACAGTGATTGCAGAAATGGGCTCAAATAGGTCAGAAATAATGAGGAAGGAAGAGGACAGGACAGGGTTTATAGGGCTGCTAAGAGTCCTACTAGAGTCGACAGCATCAATAGATATGAATTACTCAAAATCACACACAATAATTAAAGTATAAATCCAAATAAAGACAAAAGCAAAGTATTATCAAAACTGTATTTTATTTTCAATACAAGATAAACACCATGCTTGTTACTACTAGTGCAGTTTAAGACCAACAATGGTCATATAGCAAACTGCTGAACAGTCACCTAAATGCTAAAGAAAGAAAAGACAGAAAGTAAACATTAAACACAAAATTGCAATTACAATTTAATAGAATGGAATGAGCTTTTAATAGAAGCTAATATGGAAGTCTAGTTCTCATGGACATCAAAAAGATGTCTCCTTGATCAAGGATCACCTTACCTTTGCACAGAAATCTTATTGTGCCGTCACCATAGAGTCAACAGCTAAAATTGTAAGACTTTCTTTGGCCTCTGGTATTATACAAATTATTTACAAACTGTGATTCAGTGATAATTCATAGTTTGGTAATATGATACACTTGTGTTTTGTTTTGTTGTTAAGGGCTTTCCATTAAAAAATGTATAACAACTTTGTAAGGCTGTACAGGACTGTAAACTACTTTGCTAATATACCATGGGATGAGGAAGAAAAGTGATGAATAGACCTTTTTTAAGGCTAAAGTCATTAATGTTATAGAGCATTCCTTAGAATACATTATGATTTACCCAAAAAGGATCCTTTCCCACTAAATACCACCTGAGTACTACAATTTTCAAAGTAAAAAAATAAACATGAATTTCCCATTGTATTTTAAAATAAGTTAACTTACAGAATGCTGAGAAGTATTATGTATGTATAACAGTGTGGTAAAAAAAGAACACACTTCCAATAAGAAATGTTTTTACTAATTGCAGGGTCTGTCCAATTATAAATTGAATGCAAAACATTGACATCTAGGGTGAAGCTGAGGGTACTACTGCATGAAAAAATTCTTGGCAGTTTTTACTATCTGCAGTTACCATGTCAAGATTTGTGTGACTTCAATTAAGTTATAATATTTTTAAGAACACCCATTATAATACATTAATATTACAGGAAGTCCTTAAAATCCTAACATCTAGAACCCAGTATTTTTATGCCTCATACAAAAACCATAGTAGATGCATACTCAGACAGTGAATGTCAACCACCTGTAATTTTAAAAAAACATTGATTAAAACAAACCTAAATCAATCTGAACAAGATACAGTTCTTGAATGTCCATAAAAATTCATATTGCTTCTTTCTAATGCCAAGAAAGAAGACAGTATAAGAACTTTCTCCCAGAAGCCTAGACATTTAAGCACACATTTTCCAATTTAACTTACAATAGCACTTTAGTTCCGAACCTTTAGACTTTTCTAAATCAAAAATCTCATGTTACAAACACAAGGAATACCATATGTAAGGCCACATCTTAATAAATTTCTAATTTTTGGTTGAATATTTTAAGAAAAGTTGTCTAAGGCTTCTAAGAGTCAAGTTGCTAAAAAATAAATACACCAGTGTTTAAACTGAAAGTTAATAATTAAAACCAAACAAAAACACTGTAAAAGAACAGAAAAATAGAATGCTACAAAAATCCCACTTAATATATTTCAGCACAAAAATTATCTAATATGTACAATGGATAAGCGTGCACATACATACATACAGCTAGGGGAAACATTCACAGAAGGCTGTGGGATGTAAATGGTTTCAATGAATAAAATTTTAAAAGTAGTTTTTTGTAAAACAGTGAGAATTTCAATACTGTATTCTTGGTAAAGAATGAGAATATAAACTTCCTCTTAAAAGAACTTAAGGTGAAGTTAAACACAAAATTGGAGTCATCTCATAAGATACAGAAATGCAATGATTACTGAGGTATTAAAACCAAAATGTCAAAAACACTCCAACAGAAAATTCTAGTAGTAGCATCTCATTATAGAAAACATTATGTATTTAGGTTACTGGCACATTTAAATACATAGGGAAAGAAAGTCTTTGCCCTTTCAACAATTTAACCCCTTTACTACAAAATATTATACAACATTCATTAGAACCTCCATGTTTATTTTTAAACTGACCTTCAACTATTAAAAAACAAAGTAATATTCTCCACAGGAGAATTAAATGAAAGTATTATTTTAAGATACAATCCAACTTAAGTTTTTTTATGGGTTACTAAACAGCAATTAGCTGTTTAAAAATATTCTAGGTAGAGGGGGATCGTTAAATGGGTAAACTATGATCAACAGCCACTCAAAGTTATTTAAAAAAAAAAAAAGACTTCCAAATTTACAGCAGAGTATCTTTTCCACAATATATGTCCTTTAACCATAAGCAGCACATTGAATGTACAGTATTACTTCAAAAGTAACAATACCATTCTGGTGCTTTATAATTCATAATTTCATTGGTTGAAAGGAATATGACTAACCATAGCACTAACACTATGGTTTAAATTTAAGATCAAATTTGTTTTCATAGCTAATAAATTGGGAATTTAAAGGTCTCTTAAGAGTCTTGTTTTTTGGTGTCTGTGTAAAGGATTTATCTCTTTGGATTGTTTATACACATTAACAACAAAAAGGATTTTCAAATAACACCAGCCCATAAACAACAAAAGTGTTATGAAAAATAAAACCAAGGCTTACAATTTTCACCTTGACTACTATACATTCATGAGTTACCAGGTAGAGAAAGACTTGGCAAAACTACTTGGTCAAACTCAAAAGTTATTTTCTTCACAAACACTTAAGATAATGGACAAGGAACAGACAATTCTAATACACTTTTCAATGCCTGTGACAAAAGTCATGTAATGGGATCAACCAAGGAGGGCGAAGAATGACAGAGAATGAATCATTAAAGGGTTCCACTGATGAAAGTGAAAAAGTAAATAAAGGAAGGACTTACTAGTACAAAAATTTCCAGTTTTCATTTCAGGTTCAAGTGCAGTTTTTTTTGTTTTGTTTTTGTTTTTTAAAAAAATGTCATTTTAACACTACTCAGAGAAACTTTTACTCTTGTGGACAATTTACTTACCTGTTAACTATTAACTAATTTCTCTTGTAGTATATTTATGTCCATACTTCCTCTCATTATAGTATTTTAATTAAAATATAAGAAAGCTAATAGATGACAAAAGCTAACAATACTTATACAGAAAGCAAAATTAATTTTGATACAATTCCCAAAATGTTAAAAAGACAACTGAGCTTTCAACACCAAAAAAAAAAAAAAATAAAATAAAAATTGTTTCTGAAGGCAAATAGTTCTAATAAATACCAAAATTTCATGCACAAACACTCTAATTATAAAATGCTTTAAAAGAAAACTGGCAGTAATATGGATAATCTAAAACAGCGTATTTTGTGAAGTAGTCTGCTAGTGGACAAGATGAAATTGAAATTCAGCACAAATCTCTAAAGGGCTTCTATAGATGCATGTTACATAATACCAAAGATATAGAAACATATTACACATTGGTTTTTAAAAAATAACCAAATTTTAGAACAATGTGAATTCTCAGAGGTCTTCTCAAAGAAGATTCAGATCATAAAAGCAAAATGCTTCTTGATCTAAACTCAGTCTCTAAAATGATGATTTGAAAAAGGTCCTTCCTATGAAAATGTTCCAGCAAAATTGACAATCTGCCTAATTTTGCAATTAAGAACACATGCTACCAGATGCTTTTAATATGGGCCTGTATGGAAGGCAAATTTGAAAGAGGGGGGGAAAAAAATCTTTGATTAACAAAAAAGCTTCTAGCATGAATCAAAAGGTTGCACAAGTAAACGCTGAATTTCTTTAGCTGTGGAGACAGGGTGCATCTATATTGTCCCTTTACAGATAGAACAGAATTCAACCCAATGTTAATAAACATCATGCCCTTCAGAAACCTGTAGCAAATGGAAAATAAACTAAGGCTCACTTTAGTCATATTTATCAGCTGCATGAATGTATTTACATTGCCTATGGCTTAAAAATTAAACCATAGGCACAATCAATATAAAACAACAAATAACTGCAGCATCAAATCAGAACTGTCAAAATATTTCTTCAATGCTGGCAGTTCACAATTAAATATTTCAGTACATTTGTGTTGTAATTAAGCTACATCACTGTAGCAAATGACATACAGGTTTTTACTGAAATGCTAAAACCACATCTTTTTTGACCCCTAATACACTGACTGGATTGCTGTCAAATTTCAGTTTTTATAAGCCTTACCAGTCAGCAAAGTCACAGCTATCTAGATAAAAAGAGAGCTAGAAAAGCAGAATATAGAAATGTTAAATATCCATGTAATCACCTATCCTAATATCAAAATCAAGGGCAAGAGACACTTAATTAGTATGTTTAATTCACTGAACGCAAGATTAGATTGATGCATTTCCAAAACCGCTATTGCAATGCTTTTTTAAAGGACAGTATAAATGTTGTCATAGTAACATTATCTTTAGATATTGCTGAACACAAGACTTTCCCTGAGGTGTAAACATCAAATAACTTGAACAGCTTTACACATCAGCCCCATTAAACAGTTTATTACAACACTACATCTATTGTAATCAAAGTGGTGCTGTTTACAGACATTATCATATGAACATTTTTTAACAAAACAAACTACTATAAAAACAAGCATTTACTTGACTTTTCCAATTGCTTGCACATTATAATGGCCAAATGTATATAACCAGTAATAAAGTTGTAAAAGCTTTAACTTTTTAAATCACACAGGTTTCCTTCAAATTAAACAGGTAAGCAACATAAAAAGTAAAAGTAGAGCTACTGGTTACCATTTATGCAGATTTGCTTTATTCAGATCTATTCCTGTTCTTTTTATCCATGAATCCTTACAGGCTCAGTTCAATCACAAGAAGCAAACTGCTGGACAAGCGTCATTTCCCCCATGAAGACTGTTTTATCTTGAAAGGTGTTCCTCTTCCTTCAGCTGTAATGTGTCAAAATTTGTGATGTAGATTTTGCTATTCCCCATAATACACAGAAAAATGCTGGCTTAACTATACATACACAGTCGTGCATCTATTTCACTCTTATGTATTCTAACACAAAATAAGAATTAACAGAAACAGTAGCTGCCTTTGTGATGGAGAAATGCTCCCAATTTATGCACTTATTATGACTGAGACATTCTGGTTTACCTCTTAAATATTATCTTATTAATTTAATGAATCAAATAGAAATGAAAATGTAACAGGTACTGTTTCTGTGATGATGGAAACATAAGCCATTTTCTAAAGGATGCACACTACAAAAGTAAATGGAAAAATGCTTGGATGAGTTCAACATAAATATTTTTCATTCATCCACATATATCAATTCTATATCAACTCATTTAACAATTAAATGCAGAACTGAATATAAAATGCAGTAATTATTTTACATATTAGTTGCATTTATTTCACAGCATACATGAACTTCTGAAGTTATAAATCAAACACTGCTCCAAGTTACAAAATTTGTAATTTATAAAAGGAAGCTCAGTATGGGCATTTAAAATAAATGACATCCATGTACAAATCTTTAGAAACAATACAAATTTAAAATATTTAATTTCACCCAATTCCTCTTTTATAAAAATATCTCTTAGAGCACGTAAATGAACCCAAACAGGCTAATAGAAATCTACAATGATAAATTTCATTGAAACCTCACAGAAAAGAAAAACCCAGTAAGTTTGGTAAGCTAAAATTTCAAGAATACATAAATGTGCAAATTTCAGCCAGAAGTTTACAATTGAAACATTTCAGTAGCTTGGATAGAGGTGATCACTGAAGCATATCAGATGTTTAAAAGAAAAATTCCAAGAGAGTATTTGAAAAAAATTAATAGACAAAAGGACACAATAATGCTCAGCATGGTTTTACCATAGAAATAAATGAAAATATTATTTTTAGTAATAGTCATTTTGTCACACAACAATATATTTCATTTATTAGGTTCTTTTTTCTCTAAATAGCCTGTGAACATCTTAAGAGCATCAATCAGTACACATATGCATTCTCAATGCCTAGCAATAAAAACCTAAATTTTATAACTGAGAAAGAACAAAATTCTGAATTTTCCTTCTTAAGTAGATTTGGATGCCTGTATTTTTCAAAGAGATTCTGAAACTATTTCTATTATCTCCATCTTATTATGATACACTGATGAAGCTATTGGTAGAAGATTTAATGGAAAAAATTTAAAATAGCAACTTTCTGATTTTTTATTATTTGTAATGCTCTTTTAAAAACTGGTATAGTTTTAAAGATAGATAATGTTACAATGTGACCAAAAGGTTACTAAGAATTCATGAAATCTTACTGCAAAAGACAGCTTGCTGAAATTATTTGTTGGGCAAGCAGGAATATAAAGATTTATTTATTAAGAGGGAAGATATCCACCTCTTAAAAAAAGGAGTCAATTTTATCATGATTCATCACTTAATGGAGAATTTTTCTATTTTACAGAGAATCGGGTTCATAAAATTAGAAGAATTACCCTTTGCTTGATTATACTTTATAGATAGATCTTTACTAATAATAAATCTTTAATAACCAACATACAGAAATATAAAATCTAGAGAAAATTCTAGCAGTTTTATTCTAAACATTTTACATTTATCCATTTGAAAATACAAATTTTACAATCTTAAAGCAAATTTGAAGGCGATACCCATTTCCAATAATCAAACTCCATAATAAAATCTTAAAATATCTAAGTAGACATCTACATAAACAAAGATAGCAGAAAGCAACATACATTCAATGCTCATGTGTTTAGAGTATTATTTGGCCCAATCTGTACTGTCAAAGCAATACAATTTATACTTGTTCCATTATAAAAGATCCAAGGAAAGTTATTAAAACTACGACAATTGAAATCTCAAGCTCTCTCATGAAGTCTGTAAACTGAAGTAAGAACTAATATCTCCATTTTGATGTAATACAAGACCAAGTCAATAATATAAAACTCAAACTATGAGTATTTATAATTATGATGAGACTTATCCAAGTAAAACCTGTTGGTATATTTCTAAAATCATGGATAAGTTCATCTTTCACAAAAAATATTCAAATGTATACTTGAAATGTCTTAAGACTTTCATATTAAAATATGAAAGGAAAATATTTTATTATAATCAGATGGACTTAATTAATGCAATTGAATAAAATAACTTTTTAAAAATATGAAAACATTAATGTAATGAGGATTAGAGATAGGGTAGGCAAAATAAATACAATTATTTTAACAAAAGTATATTCAATACCTTAGTACATTGACTAGAGCATGTTTCATAATTTTGTTTATTGTAGATGTTTACAAAAAAAAAATCTCTTCCTACAAAAAGGAATTCATATCCTCATCTTTTACTTCTGGACACTGTACTTACCTCATTTAAAGGAAAGCATTTTATTACACTATAGTATATACATGACTGTTCTCTAATAAACAGTCCATTAATAGAAATTAACTTTATCACAAAGAGAGATTAGTTTTGTCCCTTAAGTAGCCACAAAAAGAACAATTCAAAATAGGCTGGCTGTTCCAGTATTTAGAATAAATGGTGAGAGTTCGAACATGTGAACATGTAAAAGGCCTATTAGTAAAACTGTATAGTCTATATAGCACATTTTACCCCATTTTATTATATTTTCTTCCAGCTATGTTAACTAAATATTTATTTGAAACAAACAAATTTACAAACCAAAACAACAGAAGTAGATTTCACAAGAGATGAAGGTGAGAGCAAGGTGATTCATATTGGCATTAAAAATTTTTAACAGGGACCATTAATCATTGTTAAACTATATTCTCAAACCACAGTGAGCAAAACACTATACATTCACCCAAGGAATCACTTCCTACCCTCTTAACACTTCAATTACACAGTTGTGTACAGAGGCAGATTTTTCAAACAATACTAAAAAACAAGGAAAACTACAATTATGCAAAGGAGAACCCATATATCCAGATAAAGAAAAGCAATTAAGAAGATTTAAGAAAATACACAAATATAGGCCGGTTTTAAAATCTGGCAGTTCTCAGATGACCTAAGAGTTGCAGAAATAACTTGAATCTCATTAATATCTATAATCATTCATCAAGTAATTAAAATACTTTTCACATAAGTTTTAAGCATTAAAGAGAGATAAAGTATCTAAAATCTATCTTTGGGCTTTTTATGAACTTCACATTAAATTAACACAAAGCTATACTATTAGTTGAATAAAAAAAATGCAAAATATCTCAAGTCTTGTGTATAATGTTTCATAGGAGAAAGAACTTACACAGAAAATCTAAGTAGTTAATAAACCCAAACCTTCATGAAATGTCTTACAATTTTACCAAAAAAAAGGATAATAACTTAAGAGTATATAAATCTTTAAAAAAAAAAAAAAAATCAAGCAGGTGAAGAATGTGAATCAATATTTTTTTCTTAAAAAAAATCTGGTTTCATTCCTTTGCAGCGCAAAGTGCAAAGGCTGAACTATTATAACTGAAACTTGCTAAGTAGAAGAACTAGAAACTGAAATTTATAAATAAGAGTGCACACTGACAGACAGCTCAAGTATGAAAGCAAAGAAAGTTTTTTTAAGAAGTTTACAATATATGAAAGCACTGAACTAGTTTTATTTTGCTCAGAGTGGTCTGAGAATACAGACAGAAATTACAGAATAAAAAACACAATATATTTACAACCTGAAATTTACAATGATATTTCCCCATGAAAATAATATTTGTTTGGAATTATTGACTGCTTTTAGAAAAACTGTACATTTTTAAAAGTGAGCAAAAGCAATTAACATTATCAACAATTCAAACAGACAAAAAAAACTAAAATGGGACAGACATTAACAGCTTATCAACATCATTGATTTCAAGTTAAATTAAAAATTTGCCCTTTTGGTTTTTCATAACCATTTTAATAAGATTACATTAACGTTTTATTTATATACAGATTTTAAATCGACATTCACTTTAGCTTTCAAGTTTATCATTCCACTTAGTCCATTTAAGATTTACATGAAAGCTCAAAAGGACTCATATTTTAGAACTTCTAAAGAGGTCAACATTAGACCTTATTAGGATTGTGTAAAATTTGCAGTAGCTTTTTGTTTTAAAACGTTTTAATTTTTAATATATTTTATCCCAGTTCCCATCCCTTTATTCACATCTATATCCACAATCAATATTTAGTAGAACAAAGGTACAATATTCCAGGATAACAGAATCTTTTGTACTAGAAAGAGTTATTATGTAAATTTTTTGCTTGGATAAAGGCATATAACAACATTACATCTCAATTCTGGTTAATGTACAAACAAAACATGGGGATTTTGATATGGTACATCAGTGAATCAGAAAAGAAAGTCAACAATAATTTGTAAGTAAGGAATTCATAGTTAATGTCTGAATGTAATGAAACCCAAGTTGTGATATAGTTAGGTGTACCCTCTTTAATAACTACAGTGTTAGTTAATTTATGTAAAATCAACAGTGGACTTTTCAGAAGTGTTTACTTGGCTGACTGTGTTAGATTTACTAACACCAGTAAAAAAACCAGCCATTAACTTTAGGGGATAAAATTGCCCAGCAGCTCCCTTTTGATAGAGGCCAATCTGTAGATGACCTACTAACATGTCTCAGTAACCAACTTTGTTGGTGACAAAGTCTAAATAAAAATAAGTTTTGGTAGAACCTGCACCTCTCTACAAATGAAACGACTGATAAAGCTAGCATTTCAAACTATAACTCATTCAAATTTCATCAACTTAAGCAGCTGATGGATACTGGAAATGTTTTTCATAAAATGGAAACAATTCAGGGAGGAAATAAAGTTTAGTGTTCAGATGTACAAGATACAACATTCATTTCTTATATCCAAAACTGTTATCAATTTTAATACACTTAGTTTTCAGAATGAAAGATGTTTTGCCTCATACTGAATTTTTAGAGAATGGCTCATACTTTTAAATATAAAACATGGAGAACTATTTGAAAACTAAAAATTGATAAATATTCAAGATGCATAGTCTACATATAAGAAAAAGTATTAAGAACGACCTTTTCACATCAAAAAGGCCATTATTGTGCTCCAGAAAAATATCAAAGCTTGCATACTTGTATTTTATATATATCATTATTCAAAGAATTTCATTTGCTAAAAATGTTACTGTTGAAGAAACTGCTATTCTGTCACAGAATGACATACTCTTGATAAAGCCACTGATATTGCCCATGACAATTTAAATTCTAGTAATTACCATGACTACATTTAAGAAGGTTCTCATGATAATGGGAAATAAATTGCAAGTTTATAAAAGCCCTGTAAACAGGAGCTTTATTATAACCTAACTGAATCTGGATAGGTCACAAACACATAAAGAAAAAATATTTACAGAGTAACTTTTGTGTCACATGCACAAGCCTTGTGGTACACCTCCCCTTTACATGAATGTTGTTCACAAATATAAAAATAAAATTACACGTGAAAATGAAGCTTAAAACAGATAATTCTCCCCACTTTATGAAAAATGTACACAAGAAATTGTTTTAAAATACAGAAAAAAAAAGACAATGATTATGGTTTATGAATGAAACATCAAAGAAAATTATTCCAAAATTATTCTACTTTGGCATGTGTGGTCTGGTACAATTTAAATTTTTTAGAAACTGAGTACCCTGAACCCATTTTAATTCAATAAGGTTTTGTACCCCCCGCCCCCCCCCACCCCGGAAAAACAAAAACCTGATGCCAGGGAAATAGTGTTCTTTTCCAAAAACAGTGTTTTAAAGAATTATAAATTTCTGTGTTATATTTTCCAGGGACAAATGAGTTTAGTTCAAGGACAGAAATTAAATTTATTTATTTTCCCCTCCCCTCTAGGACAAAAAATAAAATTCAGGATCACAATATAAAGTAATTCATGTGTCTTATATTAAATGACATGTAAACCGTAATTAAGAGAATCCCAATTTTCAGATTTAGAAGCAATGAGTCCTCTTGATTTATTTTCTGCTTTCTTAAGACTATCATCAACCTGAAATCTAAACATGATAATTCAATAATAATCAAGTATACAAGATCAAAATCTTTACCTGTCATCACTTACCTGTAATTTTTCTGAGATGTTTCCGGAAGATTAAATTCAGAACATGTGGTTGGACCATTTAAAATGTAGGTATATACTGTATAAACAATAGCCTTGGAGTTATAATTACTGTTAATAATATATAAACAAAATATAACAGGATCAAGGAACACCCACCTTCTCTTAACGATGACGATACTCGCGCTCTCGGTCACGCTCACGGTCACGGTCTCGGTCACGATCTCGGTGTCTCTCTCTTTCTCTGCTTCTCTCTCTATAATAATCATCATGACGATCTCTACTACGAGATTTATGACGTCGACTCTTTTCTCGTGATCTACTATGGTCCCTCTCTCTTGATCGTTCACGTCTTCTAAAAGAAATTACTGGATTAATGCTCTCTGTTACTGTAGCTTAAAAGGTTATTAATATTTTAGTGTTTAAAAAACATCTACAGCAGCAAAGAATGCTTTAAAAATCTACTACCCAAAATCATAAACTGGAAATGTCATTTATTCAAATTACTAAAAAAATTTACAATGTGATATGTAAAGGCTATAAAGCATGTGTCTAATTTAACTAAAAGCCAAAAACATGTTTTTACTGAATGAACCAAGTGGCAAAGGAGAGAAACTATCAAAGCATTTAAGTACTTTTAACTGTAGTCTTATACCAATTTTACAATATTTCTAACTAATCAGAATTCTACTAAGATGTTTTCCTTCTTAAAGTACGTAACTGTAGCCACTAAAAAGGCTTTGAATACTCTCTGCATTATATATGATAAAGGGAAATGCTTCAATAGCTGATTTTATTTTAACACATTAATTCTAAATAACCATACTGTCTAAATACTTAAAAATTCTATATAACTTTCCAATAATGCAGTCAAGTCCACCATTTAATGACTGATAAAGCAAACAATTTAGAGAGGAGGTGTATGAATACTTTTGTTGAGTCAAAAAGATTGGTAATTTTGCTAAATTCACAAAAAGGATATAATGATTGTTTCTTAGGTGAAATAACTCTACAATTGTATTTCTGCAACAACAGACAGTTGGACTTAAAACATTTTAGGTGCTAACAAGCTCTTTGAGATGAGATCAAAGTCGTTATTTTTAAAAGAATAAAAATTATAGCCTTTAGTTATAACAATTTCATTCAAAGATTTGTGTACTGGGTTACAAACTGTAAAGGAGAAGTATATCAACAAGCAGCTCTTGTTGGAGTATATCAACAATTTTCTTTGTTGAAGGAACAATTTTCCTTTGAGAAAGTATGTAAATTTTCTGTATTAACTAACTTTACAAACCCTCCAAAACTTGGGGTTGGGGAAATCTATCCAATAAGAAAAAACCCAAGAAACAGATCATTCATTATGTCCATTCTATACAAGGCACTGTTTAGGCATTAGAAACAGTACTGAACAGATAGAAGAGACTCCTCACGCTGTAGCGTAGTGCAAGAAAAGGGAATTTAGTAATTAAAAAGAATACGTTACAGTAAAGCACTATGAATTAATAAACAAAGATATGACAGACTAACCTGGGAGAAGAGCCCTCCTAAGAAGTTAGATTGTATTGAAGGCTGAAGGATAAAAAAATCAGCTATGTGGAGAGCAAGGAAAAAGGGTCCAGCAGAAGCAGTATCAAGAGCAAAATCAGTGAGGTGTCAGAGAAAAAGAAGGAAGACTAGAACAGCTGGAATATACTAAGCAATGGGGAGGGGTACAAGATGAAACTGTTAAAATAGGTATGAAATACATCAAACAGTGCCTCATTATTTCCAGTTTTATCCTAACAGGAAATGGAAGCCTTACAAGAGTTTTAAGCAAATGCCTGACATTTGATAGAAAATTAAAATACCCCTCTGGCTGCTAAGTAAACAACAGGTACAATCAGATCTTCACTTGATCTTAGTCAAAAGGCCGAGAAGCGATTAGAATCAGATCTTAACTTGAACGTTTTCCAAGAACAATAAATTTCCGTTTGTAAATTAGACACTTTAAATATACATGAGACAGAAAAGTTTTACCTTGATCCTGATCCATAAGACTTGGACTCAATTCCATGAAGGCAATCTTGCAAAGAGCTAATAAGGACTTTGCAGCGATCATCAGCAGATACTTTGGATTGTTTAATTAAGGAAATTGCAGTTACCAATGTCTCAATAGCACTCCCATAATCACCTGTGGAAGAAGAGTGAGTGCGAAGTCAAATTTCATTTCCAAAGTATCAACAAATCACTGGGGGCAAGGTAACTAACTGGGGAGGAAGGGAGGAGGAGTTGTTCACTTTTTACAGAAAGCATTTCATCTTTTGCTTTCATGTCATGAAATGAATTCAGTCTGTTTTACTTTAGCAGTGTGAATGACCATTCTGCAAATATGAGAAAAAGACCTCAGACATAAGACTTAAAAAAGTTACATCTACTAATTTAAAATTAGAGGACTTTCCATTACTTACACCATGACATACACATAGCATCTTTTAATGCCTCTTAATTCTAGGTAATTTATCTGGTGGCACAGGGTGGTGTAGTATGTAGGGTGTTTGTTAAGCTGCTAACCAAAAGGTCGTGTCTCTGGCACTTAAATCCACCAACTGCTTCTCAAGAGAAAGGCAGTCTTTTCCTGTTGCAAATTACAGCCTTGAAAACTCAATGAAGGGTTGCCAGGAGTTGGAACCAACTCAATGGCAATACATTTGAGTTTACTGGCTCAAATGGTTAAGTGATTGACTACTAACCAAAAAGTTGGTAGTTCTACTAACCCACCCAGGATAGCCTTTAAGACAGGCCTAGTGATCTGCTTTCTAAGTCACAGCCTTAAAAACCCTGTGTGTATTCAGCATATTTGAATATCCATCATAAGCAAAAACAATGATTTGGAAAGATTAAAAAGATGTAAATTACTCAACATCAAGACAACATTCAAAATTCAAGATGTAATAACATAAATAAGGAAAATTAATAAAGGAAGATATATACAAACCAGCACTAGCATCAGACACAGCTCTTGAAATGGCACTGCTTGAGATTGCCCTATTTCTATTCATGATTTCTTCAAACTCAGCTTCACTCAATGGTGTTCGTGCAGTATCCATTTCCCTAGAAAGTAAAAATAAAATTATACCCAAAAGCTTTTTTAAGTTAGTCCTAACAGTATAAAGTGGTGCATACAAGCAGCTTTTGACTAATGCCTTCTATGTAGTGGTTACTTTTCCAGAATGAAGAATGTCATTTTTTAACCCATTAAGAGAACAAGTCAAAACCAATAAAAATTTTCATGTAGTTTAAGTCCACTATCCACAAGGCTCAACTCACAAGAGACAATAAATGTCTCAAATTCTTTTTTTTTTTATGTCTCAAATTCTTAGCAGATCATGCCAATGGAAAGAGAAAAATAGTTGATTGATTTTATATGGTATTACTGTTTTGTATTTGCATAATATTGCTTAACTGATTATTCCCAATGTTTATAAACATCCTAACTAAATTATAATCATTCAAAATACAAGCATAATTTCAACTAAATAGTGACTAGTATTCATTCTGCCTCCTTTTAAAAACACTCATCGGCCTGTATGGAAAAAAAAATTAATCTTCTCTAACTTTTAATTTTCCAAGTCTAATTTTTTACATTATATCACAAAAAATTTTTAAGTGGAAACCTAAAAGTGTAGGCATTCTCTAGGAAAGGCTATGTGACTCAAGAAATTTTCAAACCAAGTCACATAAAATACTCCTCCAGAAAAAAGAAAAAGAAGTTACTACTCTAGGTTCAAGTTAAAATAATTTTTTTCCAAAGGAAGTAAACCTTTTTTTCCTAGTTATAAAGTTGGACTTCCTGACACAGTAAAATGAACCTTAAACAAAATTCCAAAACAAAAATCAACTCACTGCCATTGAGTCAGCTGACTGATAACAGCCCACTACTGGTTTTTTAGGTTGTACATTTTTATGGCAGGAGGCTGCCTCATCTTCTAGGTATACATCCAAAAGGGTTAAAAACAGAATACAATCAGATACATGCACACCAACATTCACTGGAGCATCTTCATAGTCAAAAAGGTGGAAACAACAGAAATGTCCATCACCAGAGGAATAGATAAGGTATTACACAATAGACTGTAATTCAGCCATAAACAAGACATGAACATCTAATATACATTACAACATTGATGAACTTTAAAAACATTCTGCTTGAAATAACTCATCACACAAAGACAAATGTCATGATCCCATTTGAAATATTTAGAATAGGTAAAATGCATAGAGACCAAAGCGAATATTGGTGGTAACCAGGGTTGAGTGGGAAGAAGTTACAGTGTAAGACTAGTTTCAGTTAAGAGTAATGAAAAATTGGAAATGGGTAACAGTGATGGTCACATATGGATGCTGTCATAAAAATCAGTGTCAGTGAATTTTACACATAATGGTCAAAATGGCATGTTTTGTGTTTTTTACACTTAAAAAAATATATATATTAGGATTAGAGCAACAATAGAAAAGTTAGTAATCTGCTACTCAGAACTGATTAGCAACATAATTTATAGTACCTAGCAGAGAAACCAACCTAATTCCTAAAATAATAATAATGTTCTGCTTGGTCTCATCAATAGAAAATGATGTTTAGACTCTAAAATCTTGAAAAAATGCCTACAGATCTCATTTATTACATTCTCTTTATTAACCTTTCTTCAATTTGAACAATGGATGCAAAGCTCTGAGATTTATTAAGTTTGCCCTAAATGGTGTGACTATGTAAATGATTTGGGATTATTCCTGACACTGTTCCGCATTTTCATGCTAACATGCGTCTGCTTTAACTTGTAAGAGAAAGCAATACAAAAATTATCTAGGGGAAAGGCCAACATTAAGGACTTTAGTGATGGAGTCTAGAGTATCTTTACCAATCAAAAATACTGAGTTTACGTTCCTAGTTACATAATAACTTACCTTCCAGGGGGCCCATAGTCACCTCTATCATATGGTGGAGGTCGGCCATATGGGTCTGTTGGTGGTGGCCCCCGGCTATCTGATGTAGGCATTCCACTGTTAGTTGGTGGAGGAAAGAAAGCTGGGTTCACATGTGGAGCTGGTGGTGGAGCTCCTGGAGGTGGTCCAGGAAGATGTGGAGGAGGAGCAAGTGTAATAGGTGGCCCAAGAGGACCAGGTGGACGAGGTGGAAAGGGGCCTGGAGGTGGAGGTGGTCCCTGTTGCGGAGGTGGTGGACCAGGAGGGGGGCCGTAGCCTGGAACTGGAGGTGGAGGACCAGGAGGAAGTGGACCCAATGGAGGCTGCCCAAAAGGCTGTCCAGGAAATAGAACTGGTGGTGGAGGGCGATCTCCTCGATTAGGAGGCCCAGCTAGTGGAGGAGGCAGAACCTGACCAGGAGGTGGAGGACCTGGTGGACCAGGTGGGCCTGGAGGACCTAACGGTGGACGTGGTGGTGTCTGCCCAGCTATAAAATAAAGAGGGGGTGGGGGAGAGGGAGAGAGGGGGGGAGAGAGAGAGAGAGAGAGAGAAATGCACTTCATTAAAATATTTTAACCTTTATGCTAAGATTATTCTCTTAACGTATAACCCATAGACCAAGATTCTCTTTAAGTGAAACCCAAATGGTAAATGCTACACTAACAAGTACTCAGCGAATTATATCCTCACAAATTTAACTAGCTCAATTTATGCTAAGAGAAATTATTAAAATACAACTTAAATTAAGATTACAATGCTTAGTGCTATTTTCCATCTTTCAGTGTACATACACTTCTTACAGTGAAATCACCCACCTTATATTCTACTCTGATGCCAAGCTAGAAAGTGAAACGAGGAAAATTGGTCTTGAAAGGATTTTTTAAGAGGTAAGAAAATAAGACGGATGTAAATATTCTATATATAAGTCAAGCAAGTTTGGAGAAAAATAAAGACCTTTTAGGCCAAAAATGGGTATTTCCTCTATGCTGTGCCCCATATGCCATGGAATCCTAGTTTCCAGGAACAAAGGCCGAGTTCCTTTAACAAGATGCTTGATCAAATTTCCTGGATTCCAAAAATAGCATAACAAGGAGAGTAAGTCACATTAATAATGCATTACTTGAAAAAGAGAGAAAAGGAAAAGAGGCATTAGGTAGACATGTCTTATCCATGGTAATTAAAGAAAATTTTTACCTGGAAAAGGTGGGGGTGGCCCTCCTGGTCCTGCTGGCCCAGGAAATCTGTCCCCACCGGGAACAGCCCCTGGAAAACGGCCCCGTCCTCTACCACCTTGAGGAAATGCTGCACGTGAACTGCCTCCTGGAGGACCAGCTTTACCTTCCCCAGACATTTGTCCTGATTGTGTAGCTGCAAATATCCAAATACTCATAAATAGCACTTATTAAAATAGTTCTCTGAAATGTAACCACTGTTATTAGGAATAATTCTACTTCCAACGTCATTTGTACTACGTAGTAATTTGTAAATATGTTGGGCCTGTGCAAACTATAAACTATATTTTTAAGGAAAATATTCACATCTATGTAAGGTTTGGGTTTTTTTAAAACGTAAGTTCTTTTAAAGTCTTAAAATCCAGGTTTAAAATGAAACTATCTATCTCCAAGAAATAAACAGTACTTTGCAGCAGCCAAGACAGAAATTCTTCAACAGAAATCTCATTTCAGTAGCACAGATCATTTCAATTTTATATGACATTCTTCTAAATCTTAGGTGCTAAAACATTAAAAGAAAAACAACCACTTGAATTTCTGTTAATTATATGATCATCCATCTTATTTCTTTAAATTAGGACATTCACAAATGTTAATGGCAATTTTTTTTCTAGAGTCACTTTACCAATTATGAAAAGTCTTGGTGCCAAATAGAAAATCCGTATTTTCTGGCTATCAGTGGTCTCTCAACTACAACACACATTCAAATTTTCCTTAAATCTAAGGAATACGTTGTAGTTTCTTCCTTGTGCTAAGATGTGAATGATGGGATAAGAATGGAATGACTAAAACACTCACACACTGTTGCACAGTATTGGGTCAGTGTCATCTAAAGAGAAATGGAATGGTAGTAGGTTTTCAGCATATGATCATAACCAATAATCAAATAAAATTCAAAGATAGACTCTAAGAGATTTCCTAGTGAACTAAACATTAAGATGACATCTCTAGTATAATATCTACCCAAATATGACCAATATTAAAACACATATCTTTTAACAAAAGCCTCTGATGGATAGCTTACTTTTCCGGGACTGCATTTCAAATTGACTCAGGAACTGTTTATTGCATGGAGTCACAACAGGATTTTGCCCATGTAGTTCTCTTTTAGGCAACAGATCCATTAACTTTTTTGATGATGCCTCAGATCCAACACCAACAAGCGCAAACCTAAAAGATTTTAAAGGGGTAACAATAGAAAGTAATGGGAGATTAATAATGTTGGAGTGGTTAAAAACAAACAAAAATTTAATCTACACCTATTTACATTCAGTCTTCAAGTTGGAACCAACTCACAGCTGACCATCACTGGGTTTCCAAGGCTGCAAATCACATGGGAGGAAATGGAACATCTTCCTCCCACAGAGACCTTTAGGATTTAAGCCACCAGAGGCACTACTTTTTAGTTAGCAAGTGTCATTTCCTACCCACTACACAACATTCTCAAAAAACCCAACCAATAACAATCTCTTTACTGTTGAGTCGGAACCAATTCATAGCTAACTCTACAGTAGGTTTTCCAATGCTGTAAATCACATTAAAGGAGACTGTACATCTTTCTCCTCGAGAGCCAATGGTGGGTTCAAACCACCAGAGAGAAACCACACCACTGTTAGGTTAGCAGTACAACCTCATATAGATTGTACCACCACAGCTCCTACATAGATTTCAGAAAACCAATACTTTTCTAAATTGAAGCTGTGTGAGTTCTTATTTTCACCCTTTAACATTTAAGTATACATTTAATAGTTTTTAGTATATTCAATCATACAACCATTCATTTTTAATATTCTGAACCACAAATTCTGAGCATTTTCCTTGCCTCCCCCTCCAATCCTGTTATCCATTAGCGGCTATTCTAGTACTCATTCTCCCTCAGCCTTACAGAACCACTCATGCACTTTAAGAGAGCCATGGTGGCTTAGTGGTAAGGAATTGTGTTGCAAACCCAAGGACACACAACTCAAATTCACTAGATGCTCTGCAGAATAAAAATGGACAATCTCCTCCCATACAATTTACTGTCTTTGAAAATCTACTGGAGGGTCAGTTATGAGTCGGTTCTGACCTGATGTTACACAACAACAATCTACTTTCTGTCTGTCCTGATTTGCCTATCCTAGCTATCTCGTATAATTGCAATCATGCATGGCCTTTTTGTGTTTGGCTTCTTTCACTCAGCATGGGGATTTATATAGCATGGTTTTCTTGATGGTCTAACAGTACTATGGATATATATGGCATTTTATTAAACATGTGCTGATCTTTTGAGTTGCTTTCCACTTCTTGGCTACCATGAATAAAACTGCTAAAAACATTGTGGAAATGTTATAAACTTCCACTTCTCCTGGGTTTTTACTTAGAAGTGCAATTACATAGTAACCAATTTAATCTTTTGAAGAATTGTAAGATTGTTTTCCAAACTGGCTGCAACATTTTACATTTCTACTGCAATGTATTATATTAGGGTTTAAGTTTACCAACATAGTTGCCTAAAACTGGTACTATCTTTTTGATCATAGCTATACTTCTCATTGTTGCTATGTGCTGTCAGGTCAACTACAATTCACAGAGAACCTATGAACATATGTAAACTGTGCACTATCTTGCACCATCTATGATGTACCTGAACCCATTGTTAAGTCACTGTGTCAATCCATCTTACTGAGGATCTTTTCCTTACACTGACCCTTGACCCTACTAGGCAAGCTAACCTTTTCCAAGAACTGGCTCCTCCTAACAACATGCCGAGAGTACCTGAAACAAAGCAACCCTTATCTTTGCCTCCAAAAAGCACCCTGATCGCACTTTCTCTAAAACATATCTGTTTCTTCTCTGGCAGCCCACAGGACATTCAGTACTCTTCTCCAACGCCACAACTCAAAAGCATTGGTTCTTCTATCATCCTTATTTATTATCCATTTTGTGTAAAGAAAATGGGTATGAAGTGGTATATTTCATTGTAGTTTGGATATGCATTTGCCTGATGACTAATGTTGCCTGCCTTTAATTTGCTCATGGAGAGAGCAGCCTATTCAGATATTTTACCGATTTTTGAGTTATTTGTCCTCATTACTGAATTGTAAAAACTGTGACCCACATAACTTTTGTTGTGTGGACTCCAGTCTGACTCTCTTAATATTGTCCTTGAAGCATAAAACAATTTCGTTTTGAAGCCTTCCAGTTTATTGATATGTGCTGTTGAATCAAAACAGATTCAGAGATGGTGACCCTCCAATGGGTTTTCAGAGGCTGTAAACTTTGAGGGAGGAGATTGTTCATCTTTCTTCCATGGAGCAACTGGTAGTTCAAACTGCCTGTCTTTGGGTTGACAAAGCAAATCTTTACCAACTGAACTACCATTTTTTATTGTTTGCTTGTGCTGTAGATGTCATATCTAAAAAGGAATTATCTCAATGTACCTGAATTGGGGGAGGGAGGGATCAAGAATTACCTAATCCAAGGCCATGAAAATATATCCCGTTTTCTTCTAAGAGTAATTTTTTTATTAAAAAGATTTGTAATTGACTTAATAATTGAGAACTTGTAATGCACTTGTGTTATACTCGTAATACATCTAGATAACAAAAGTTACCTGACTGCTAAAGTTTAAAAATTTTACCCACGATACCTTGTATCTTTCTAATGTTAGAGTACAGTGAATACAACTCATGATCTTGGACAGTAATTACTGATGTCCCAGGGATTATTAATGAGGTGAGCAGAGATACATCCTCTTATCTAAGTTTCCACCCTCAAATGCATTAAAAATCTTACCAGGCTATGCTTGCTAAGGTATACAAAGAACGTAATTCTCCATTTGCTATCTGTACCTGCAGACAAAGCAATCATTTTCTACTTAAGATGTTACAAGGTAGAAAACCAGATGAGCTCATGTATAATTATGCCTATAACAAGACCCAGGATAGTTTCTTTTTGAGTGATTATTTTAAGCAAAGTAACCTGGTAACACTCGATGGTACAAACTGTTAAGATTTTCAGCTATTAACCAAAAGACTTAGAGGCTTAAGTCTACACAGAGGCACCTCAGAAGAAAGGCCTGGCAATCTACTTCTGAAAATCAGCCACTGAAAATATCTCCTGGGACACAGTGCTGTTTTGCCACACTGAGCACTATCAGGCACAACTGACTCAACAGCAAGCTTCTTTTTAAATGTTAGTGGCTCAGAAGGTTTTGGCATATTCTGCTCTAGTTTTTATGAGGACTATCAAGGCACAGAGAAGTTAAATATCTGTTTCAAAGTCACATATTTCTAGTGAAGAGTAGAGCAAAAATTTAAACCCAGGAAGTTGAGTTCCAGGACTTGTGTTCTCAATAAGGGACTACATTCAATTATGGTCATTATCTAGAAGTCAAAAGATACAACCACCAGTCAGTTCCTCTCTGTGTACTTTCCCAAAGCATTTACCACACCCTACTCTTAGGACATGTTTCTTCAACCTGTGAAAGCTTCTAAAGTAGGGTATATGGAATGGTCAATAAACTATACATGTTGTTTGTTGTTAGGTGCTGTCCAGTCGCTTGTTCATAGGGACCCTATGTACAAAAGCCCTAAGCCCTGCTCTATCTTGTGCCAATCACACTGCCTCTGACACACCCATCCAGATTACTCCAGTCACTGAATCAGTGCACCTCATAGAGGGTCTTCCCCTCTAATACAAGAAAAACAGATCTTTAAGTCCCAATGAGGGCAGGGGAAAAAAAAAAAAAATTTAGGACACAGCATATATGTTGCTCAAGGTGAACTCAAGTACTTTAAGCATGCTTTAAAATATTTAGAAAAAGTCTAGGTCATTCAAACTGTTAGCAGTGAAAAGAATGCTTACATCTCTCTCTGGAGTTGGGAGGTATATGGTTCAGAAAGAAAGGAAACAAGGGGACATTCAATCTTCTCTTTCATTTTGAAAACCTTCAGAATATAAAACTTGTTTAACAAAAAATACGATATACTTGTCACAACAAATGAAAATTGTTTTATATTCTCATAACTGCTTATGTAAATACCAAGTAGACTGGTCAACAAAAAGAGAAATTACCAGATCCTCTGCCTTTGAGCCAATAATTTGTTTCTGAAATTATAAATCGTAAGGGGAGCAGACAATCTCTGCCTTTTCCCTGTGAGATCAAATCACTGACATTTCAGGTGGCATCTTTGTGTAATTTGTTAAAAAGTTCTCATAGAGGATAACAGAAGGACTCATAACAGCAACAAACCTTAATGACTATGGTTGCTTATTTATAAAGCAGCAACAATAATGGTAATAAATTAACCTATGCAAACTAATCATGTTGTCAAGTGCTATCAAGATGCCTATAACTCACAGCAACTATGAACAACAAATTGGAACCTTGCTCTGTCCTGCCGCCTTCACACTTTCTGATGTTCTCAAGTCCACAGTGAGAGTCATGGTGTAATTTTGTTGAATCATCTTCTCTTTCTCTGACCCTTTATCTTTCTCAGCATGATGTCTTTTTCCAACACAACATATTCATAGCATATGAGATGAAGCTTCATCATTCATGGCTCTAAGAAGCACCCTGTTAGCATTTTCTCCAACAAAGGCTCATTTGTGTTTTTTGGCACTCTATGATATATTTAATACTATTGCTAACACCACAATTCAAAGGCATTCTTCTGTCTTCCTTACTCACTGTGCAACTTTTAGATGCATACAAAACAAATGAAAATACCATGGCTTGGGTCACAGGCATCTTAGTCTCTGAACTGAGAATGTGGTGGATGTAAAGGGAGGAATTCCGATTCTAGCAGCCATATACATAATCTACTCTCCTTTGTGCCTCTAAGATACATGATCGACATACTATGACCATATTCAGTACGTGTACCATATAAATTTCCTATCTTTTCCAAATGCAACACTTTTTGATTTCTTGCGGGCTGCTACCATGAATACTGATTTTAGGTGCCTGACAATGCCAATCTTTTCTTCATCTATCACGAGCCTTTTGATTTCTTCGTTTTGAGATGTAATCCATATTGAAGGCTATAGTCTGTAGTTTTCTGCAGCAAGTGCTTCAATTCGTCTTCACTTTCTGTAAACAAAGTTGTGTCACCTGCATAATACAGGTTGCTGATTAGGCCTCTAATGCTGATGTCACATTCTTCTTCATATTATCCAGCTCCCTG